CCCGCACTGCGTCCTCCGTTGCCTCCTTCATGCGCGCAGGAACGGCAGGAAAGAGGGCCTGTGTAGCGGTCAATGCTAGTGGGGCATGGTCAAAACTGCTCCATGTAGGACAAAACAGCCCTGCCCACGCCCTGGTGCTAAAAGTGAGTGGTTTTGACAGTTGGGGTATCACCACTAGACGGTTTTGTAGTTGGGGGTTAAAATTAGACGAACCCTATAGTTGAGGGGCCAAAAGTGGACTTAATCCAACAGTAAATTAGTTGGTTGTCTGAGTCTTTCCTTACATTGTAATAAACACATGAGGTTTGCTGGTTGTTTTTGAAGATGTCTTTGTTATGTTATCGTAGAAGACTTAATTTAATGTTCAAACTAGATGATCGTTGATGCTTCCGCATTCTCTGATAATGTGTTCTTGTTATAGTGTAGTGTGGTAATATTCTGGAAGGTTGTTGTTTTCCTTCTGTGGTGTTACAGCTACTCAAGCAACTACTACTAACAAACACAAAATATATAAATGTAAATGTAAGTGAGAGAAGTAGCAAACCACCGAGGGAAAGAGATCAACACAGAGATTTATCCCCTTTGTTCGGTTGCACTAATACAACAAAGTTTAGTACTGGCGGTTCCAAACCAATTTCTACGGGTGTTTAGCGCCACCGCCAGTGTGAAAAGGCTAGTGAAAATCGCGAACATTACATGCGTCTACTTGAGATGCGCCAGTGTTAATACATTTACACTGGCGGTTCACCTAAGCCAACCGTCAGTGTAAACCCATTGACACAGGTGGTTGGTTTATGTGAACTACCAGTACGTATAAATGTTTTTTCACAAGCGGTCTACCTAAAAGAGCCGCCTCTGGAAAATATTTTTCAGAGGCGGCATAGTAGCATTGCCGCCAACCTACACCCATGTTGTGGCCAGTCTCCAAGTGATAATTTACGCACTAACTAGCCACTCAAGCTGGACCCATAACTTGGGTGCCGCAAGAATCATGCAAAGGTTCACTTCAACTAGCCACGAGCATTCCACTAGATTATCCCTTTGCAACTCAGCGAAGTGGGATCAAATCCACTCATAAATCACCAGCTGGAAGCGGAGAACAATCACCAACAATCCCTTGAACAACCACAACTGCTCCAAGCCATCTAGGTGCTAGCAACCATCAAGAGTAACAAACCAAATGCACTAGATCTCTAGCAATCTCACTTTGGATCAATCACAAGGCAAGGAGATGAGTGGGAGATTTTCTTGGAGTCTCGCAAGTGTGTTAGAATGCTTAGAATGCCAATAGAGATCTCAAAGAGTTGGCCAACACATATAAATAGGACCCCTCCAAAACCTAGCCACTGGGCTGGCTGAGTGGACACTCTACGCAAGCACTAGATTGGTCAGGTCAGGTGAATGCCAGAGCACCACCACCGGATTAAAATCTACAACAAAATTGCCCATAGCATTAGTCTGATGCCCCTTTGTTAGCACCATTGAACTAATCAGGTGGCTCCCCGCATGCTGGCACACTTTGAACTAGCCATTGGAACCCTAGCGGCTACTATAGCACTTGGTCTGGTGCTTGGTGACCACCGGACTAATCTGATGTCTACCAGAGAGGTTCTAGAAAAGGTTTTTGCCCATCGGATTGGTCCAGTAAAGTCTATGAAATTGTACTCTGTGAACAGTGTGACCTATGGTCCGGTGCTGTCAGTGGGTAACCACTGGATTAATCTGGTGGCTATCCCTAGCCTCTGTCTAGTGACCCCTGCACCCCTTCAATATAGCGCATGCTCCGGTGCATGCAAATACACCACTTTGAGCTCCTTCTCCAACACTTTTTGAAATGCACTAACTTCCCAATGTTGTCCAACATGACAACAACTCCTATATGGACCTGAGTTAGCATTTACAAATATTTTTCAAAGGATTTTCACTTGCATCTCACCACATCACTAGGTCTGATGCATATGCAAAAGTTTAGTTCACTAGTTGTCTCAATTACCAAAACCAAACTAGGAGCTTTTACCATCATCACCCTCCTGTCATCCCAACATCTCCTAACTCTCCCTCGCTCCCTCTCTTCAGTGGAATGTGCGTTGGGACCCTAAGCTATAGTAGACTAAGTGGTGCTGACATATGCGGTGGTAGTCAAGTGGTAGATGTGTGTGGTTGAATTCTTAGCGTTTGGCATTGGCCCAAGTTATGCAGCACAATATCCCCAAGGGTTCAACAAGAACCAACTATTGGTGTTCACTAACATGCTTGTGGCCCCATATTCTCTCTTTCACATGAATGATTCAATGTCGTTAATTATATGCCATAACATTGACGTTTGTTTTCTATTTTAATTTTTGGCCTATGTTGTATATTTGTAGAGAAACGACCCTCAAAGTTGAGTGATTTGCAAATCCCATTTATGTATATAGGCCAAATCCCGGGAAATATGAAGCATAGAAGACCACATATGGGACTAAGTCCATCGACATTGGATGCCAAAGCAATCCTTCTATGGTGTCCACATTTAATGAACCTTGAGCTAGGATTACTTAAGCATAAAAAATACAAAGATTTGGGAAGTTTACCACAAAATCAAGTCGAGAATGGAAAATAGAGTGAATCTTATCTGTTGACTCATTCTGGGATATGTAAAAGGGCCACATGCAAGTGATCTAGAAAGAGGACAAAGGAAGGGAACGAGGATGCACTCGCTGCCGTGGAGAGGTTGTTGGTGAGGAGTCCAACCTTGAAGGTTGCCAGGGAGGATGACAACGATAGGTATGGAGTCACCATGGAGGAGGAGGAGGTCATCACTAGCAATGAGGACATCACCATGAAGCCATGAAGAAGAAGGAGGCCCGCATGGAGAAGGAGGTCACGGGAGAGGGAGCAAGTCATTAGGATGAAGTCATCGAAGAAGAGGATTTCGTAGTAGTTTAAGTCACCATAACAAGGAGGCTAGTGTAGAGGAGGTCGCTGACAAGGATCACATCATCGTGAAGAAATTGTTGTAGGCCACTTGGGAGAAGTTTGGCATGCATGGAGGATGAGGGCTTCATTGAGGACGAAGTCACCGGAGAGGATGAAGGGTGCGAAGGAGATATGCCAATCAAACTCATAATTTGGCTAAGCCTGCTCTCCATCTCTTAACATTAGGAGTTATGAGTAAGCCTACTCTCAGGCTTAGTCATAAGTCCTAATGTTTGATAATTAATCTTGCTAGGACATAGCGCAAGATTTTCTACTTCAATTCTGCACCCCAAACAATAATCTACCGAAGATAATAATCATCTTAAGAGTTTCAGCTCATACTGTCCACATAGTCACATACTCAGTTAAGTCAAAAAAGCGTCCCATCGGGCTACCAATCAGCAGACTGTAGGTATAGATGGGTCACTCAATCATGTTGATAGACTGATAGGAGTTGCCGCTGTCAGCCTGTCATCAACAGAGTGCGTGACACACACGCCATAAATGTGCAACTAAACAATACGAACAATGAGATAATATGTCAAGACTCAAGTGCACCAAATTAAATAATGTATGGCATGCATTCATGATATAAGAAGTCCAAACAAAAAAAATTACAAAGATCCTAAAAATAATGGACAAGCCTTGAGACATCCAGATCACGACAGCCCAACCACCCGGCAAGCTTTTGATCATTTCCTCACCTCCGCCTGATGGGCAGGGACTTCTCTACATCTGTACAGCTCTCTCATATACATACTCCTTCCAGAGTTCCATCCATCTTCTCAAAGGCACAACAAAGATGGCCCTCGATGACCTCATTCTTGCACTCAAGAATGTCCCCGTTTTGGTCAGCTCTACTCATAGCTCCACTGATCTGGTACCTTCTTGTTCATGGCGAGAGGAAGCGGAAGGAGAAGGCCATCCGTCTGCCTCCGAGCCCACCGAGGCTGCCTCTCATAGGGCACCTCCACCTGATGGTGAAGGAACCCCATCGCACACTGCAGAGGCTGGCACACAGGATGGGCCCAATCATCTACCTCCAGCTCGGTGGCGTTCCGGGCGTCGTGGTGTCGTCGCCGGGCGCGCCAAGGAGGTGCTGAAGACCCTTGATGTGCAGTGCCGGTCCTAGGATTTTGAGGACCCTCTCGACGAACTCGTCACGACGGCGGCCCCTCTCGATAAATGTTTCTTAGGTAATATTCTAAAATTCTAACACCTGACCTAAATTACAAAAAAAACATGACTATATGAGTACAAAGTACTAGACAAAAATTGAACAAGGAAAAAAAAAAACTAGGGCCTAGATAATTTGGACATGAACTTATTCGTAACCAAGATTCACAAATCACAAAAAGGCGCAAAGGCAATAATCAAGATCATATGTCGTCGTCTTCGCCGAGCCCCCTGCCTCAGCTGCCTGGTCGCCGCCGTCGCTGCTTCCGGAAGACTGGAACTCGAACTCGGCATCGGTGTCTCGGTGATCTGTGTTGGTGATCGCGTGGTGAACTGGTGATCGGCGCTCGCTCTCGCAGTCTCACGCCTCGCCAGAAGTCCGAAGTCGCGACTCAAGATCGCTATGTGCGCGTGTGTGGGTGTTGGCGGCTCAGCTCCTTGCCTCCTGGAAAGAAAAAGGCCGACGACTCCTTTTACTAATGGGCCGCTGCATCTTCTCATTAATTCTAATGGACTATAGCTAAAAGATATGAAGTATTATATACTTCGGCTTGGGCCCCCATCCCGCGAGGGCCCTCGGCCGTCGCACCTCCTGGCCCACCCTTAGTGCCGGCACTGTTGATGTGCACTGCTGCAACCGGCCGTCGTCACCAGGCAATCTATCTATAATTCTATATACGTTTTCTCCACGTCTTTTACTACCGCATAAACAAGTTTCCAGACATGCATGATTCTGCTCGCGTACTTCTAATATTCAAGTTCAGAGTAAATAAGAAAAACAAACCATTATAAATGAAATTCTTTATAGTTACCTTCTGATATTTTTAGCTTTTTATTTATTTGAAATCACATTTTCAGGGGCAAAGATGCTAACCTACAATTATCGGGACATCGCGTTCTCACCGTACAGTGAAAGGTGGCGCGAGAGGCGCAAACTCTTCATTTCCGAGCTTGTAGGCAGCAAGCGCGTGCAATCCTTCTCACACGCATTGGAAGAACAAGTGGAGCAACTTATCCAATCACTCTCATGCCTGCCGCCGTCGACGACAGAGGCCGTCAACCTCAACGAGAAGATCTTCGCACTCATCGACGGCTTCATCGGCACGGTGGCGTTCGGCAGGATGAGCGGCGCAAAGCTGCTCAAATACAACAAGTTTCAGCAGGTTTTCAGCGAGGCCCTGGTTGTCCTCTCCGCCTTCTCTGCTCAGGACTTCTTCCCGGCGTCACCGATTAGCCGGTGGGTTGATAGGATTGCTGGACTAGAGGCACGGCACCGGACAATATTCGGTAAGCTAGATGCATATTTTGAGACTGTTCTGAGCCAGCATCTGAATGTAGGAAAGGTTCAGTCTGACAAGGATAACCTTGTGGATGTGCTCATCGGTCTTTGGAAGGGTCAGGGGAAGGGCAAGCGATGATCAAAGACGACCTCAAGGTTATCATTATGGTAATTTTTGCTAAGTAAAGCAAGCTATATATATACTTAAGTTCTTCATTTACAGGCCATATATATGTGTGTTAGTTGATGTTGATTTTTTTTCTTTTTGCAGGATGCATTTATCGGCGGCACATCTACAAGCTCAGTCACGTTGTTATGGGCAATGTCAGAGATAATCAAGAACAACCCACGGGTGATGAGGAAGGTCCAGTCCGAGATAAGGAGTTCAGTCAATGGCAAGCCAAGGGTAGAGGTTAGTGACACTCCACAGCTCTAGTACCTTAGGATGGTCATCAAGGAGACGTTACGACTGCACCCACCAGCACCATTCCTCATCCCAAGGGAGACCATGCAGCATGTACAACTCCTCGGCTACGATTTGTCGCCTAGGACAGGGACCTTTGTCAACGTGTGGGCTATAGGGAGGGACCCTGCCTGCTGGAAGAATCCTGAGGAGTTTTACCCTGAGAGGTTTGAAGATGCTGACATTGATTTTCAGGGTTTATATTTTGAGCTGCTTCCCTTTGGTGTCGGACGCAGGATCTGCCCTGCGCAGTGGCGGAGCTAGGTTAGAATTCAGGGGGGGGGGGCAATTCTAGTCTTGTGACTAATCACTAGTTATAGGTATAATCTTCTTTCTATATAACACAGTTATACAATTCTAGTGGAGGAGTTTGTAAGCTAAATTAAATATATTAATACACAAATTAATGCATATGCAGTCTACTATATGTTACCTGATGAGTGTAAGCTGTTGCAAGATGAACTCCCGCTAATTGTCATTTGTCCTTCTTAAGTAGAACAAGAGAGCTAAATAGACGTACTAAAGTAACAGACTAATATAAGTGAAATATTATAATGCAGTTGCATGCAAACAGGGAAAACAACAGCAGTACTCATTTGAAACGGGCAGATGAGCTAAACACAAATGCTAATTAAGTTTTGTAATAATACGTTGAAATATATTCCTTGCATCATCAGGATGCAGCAGCTAGAATAAAAAAGAAGCTAATGCAAGTTTAGTCGTGGCGTAGATGAATGCATGTAGTTAGGCCATGCAGTGATGCAGATGTGTGTGCGTAGTTGCAACTTTTAAGTGTGCATACATGCTACTCAAGACACAGGCTCTTTTTGTAAATCTATCCCGAGCAAGGGGGGCCGGTGCCCAGGATGGCCCTAATGTGGCTCCGACAGTGGCCCTGCGATTCCTATGGGTCTTATGAATGTGGAGTTTTCACTTGCAAGCTTGCTGCATTCTTTCGATTGGAGATTGCCTGAGGGTATGGCACCTGAAGATGTGAGCATGGAAGGTACGGGCAGACAAATTGTGTCCAGGAGCACTCCACTGTATCTTATCAAGACCCCGTACATAAGTGGATAAACCAAGTTATAGTGACTGGACTGTAGGTCTGCTGGCTGCTGATATATGATCGTATATATATAAGATAAGATGATTGCATAATTTGAATAAGTATAGTTGAGAATGGTTGTTATGGACATCTTGAAAATCAACTCCAGGGATCATTATGACATCACAGTCACTACCGGATCAAGGAGCTTTGCCGAGTGCAGGGGCACTCGGCGAAGACCCAAAAGCACTTTCGGCAAAGGGTTTGCCCTTTAACGGCAACGCTAGTTTGCCGAAAGTGCTTTTTCGACACTTTCAGCAAAGACGTGCCGAGTGGGAAAAACACTCGGCAAACTTTTTTTCAAAAAAAAAAAAAAGGCAAACAATTTTTCAAAAAAAATAAAAAAACAAGCGGCCGTCTTCTCCTCGCCGCGCCGCCGCACCACCACCACGCCCAGGCCGCCACCACACCGGGGCCGGATCTGGTGGAGGCGGTGGAGGAGCGCCACTGGTAGATCCGCCGCCGGAAAGGGAGGGGAGGAGCGCCAGCGCCCGGAGAGGAGGGCCGCGCGCCCAGATCCGCCGCTTCCGCGCGGGGCCGGATCCGACCTCCCGTGTGCCACCACTGTCGCCCGGATCCGCCCGCGCCGGGGCCGGATCTGGTGGAGGCGGTGGAGGAGCGCCACCGGGAAAGGGCGGGGGAAGGGTGCCGCCGCGCCAAGAGAGGAGAGCCACGCGCCAGATCCGTCCGCCCGCATCGCGGGTCGGATCTGGTGGAGGCGGTGGAGGAGCGCCACGAAAAAGGGAGGGGAGAGGTGCCGCCAGCCCAGAGAGAGGAGGGCACAGCGCCGGATCCGTCCGCCCGCCGAGAGAGGAAGGGGAGGGGCGCCACCGTCGAGAAAAGGGGAGGGGGGGCCGCCGCGGATCTAGGGAAGGAGTGGAGGGCAGCCAAGGGAGAAGGGGAGGGGCGGCGCGGAGCGTGCTTGTCTTGCAGAAGAAGGGGGGCGTCTGGGGTGCCTGTGAGGAGAAGGAGGGGGCGGCGGAGGCGTGGCGCGTCTGTGGAGAGAAGGGAGGCGGCGGCAGCGGGTGCGCAGGAGAAGGGAGGCGCGTGTGGGGAAAAAGAGGGGGGGGGGGGCGTTATATTTTGAGTTTTGCTTTGCCGAGTGGCGAATGGGAGGCACTCGGCAAAGCTTGTTTTATTTTTTCTGGCTCTTTTTTACACAGTAAGTAGTTTTTTTTCCTTTGCAAAGTGTCCTAGATCTGGGCACTCGACAAAGTTTTTTTTCATTTTTTTTCTTCTCCTTTTTTTCTAGAAAAAATATTTTTATTTCTTTGCCGAGTGTCCTAGATCTGGCCACTCAACAAAGTTTTTTTTTATTTTTTTTTCTTCTCCTTTTTTCCCCGAAAAAAATTTTATTTCTTTTTCGAGTGCAAAAAAAAACACTCGGCAAACCCCTCTTTGCCGAGTGTTTTTTTTTACACTCGGCAAACCTCATCTTTGCCGAGTGTTTTTTTTTGCCGAGTGTTTTTAGCGCAACACTCGGCAAATAGCTTGTTTGCTGAGTGCCCGAGAGAATACACTCGGCAAACATAAAAACACTCGGCAACGTTTCCGGTAGTGAGTATAGTATTGGCAGCATGGTTGCTTGTCGTTTGTTTAGTGGTAATCCCCGTTTCTATTTGTCTTTTGCCTTCTATATATAAGCATTGTGCTTGCTTGGATGTGTGTGTGGTTGTACATTGCTTTCCCCCATTTGGGCTTGTTCGGTTAGCTCTAATTTGAAGAGATTGGTGGGATTTTATCCTCTATAAGTCAGATTCCGAATAACGAGGGATACTTTCAATTACTAAGTTCAAGTCGTTTCCATGACTCGGCCGAGTGGGTTACACGGGTCTATCAAGTGATGTGTCACTTAAGGTTGCTACAACTCCTTCCGGAGGCATCGAACCACTACCGGATTCAGAGCTTTGCCGAGTGCCGGGGCACTCCAAGCCCACAAAAACATTCAAGAAACGGTTTGCCGAGTGTTATACTCGCAAAACGACACTCGTAAACTGGTTATCGGCAAACGCTAGTTTGCCGAGTATTTTCTGTCGGACACTCGGCAAAGAAGTTGCCGAGTGCAAAAAAAACACTCGGCAAACTTTTTTTTTCAAAAAAAATAAAAAAGGCACGCCGACACCATGGCCGCACCACCAGCACCGCCGCCGTGCATACCACCATCCACGCCGCCGCCACCATGCCGGGAAGAAGGAGGGCCCCACCACGCCGCACCACCACCATCCACGCCACCGCCACAACGCCAGGGGAAGAAGGAGGGCCCCACCACGCCGCACCTCCGCTCGTCGTCACCAGAAGCTGGCCGTGTCGAGCCTCCACCACCGTGCCATTCACCTCGACGAGCCTCGCCCAAGCCTGTCCTCGCTGCGTCGCGCGCCGCGCCGCCTCTTCCTCGTGTGGAGCTGCGAACGCCGACAAGCACGCCACGGATCCGCCGCTCCTCCCTCCGCCACCACAACCACGCCCGTCACTGCCGGATCTGGAGAGGGAGGGCCGGGAGGGGGGCGGCGTAGTCGGATCTGGGAGAGGGAGGAGGGCCAGGAGAGGGAGGCACCGGATCTAGTGAGGGGAGGGTGGGCTACGCCAGGGGGAGGAGGGAGGGCGGGCCCAACAGAGGGAGGAGGGGAGGGCGGGCCGCGCCGGCGAGGGAGGAGGGCAGGGCGGGCCGCTCCAGCGAGGGAGGAGGGGAGGGCGGGCTGCGCCGGCGAGGGAGGAGGGGAGGGCGGGCCGCTCCTACGAGGGAGGAGGGGAGGCGGGCCGCGCCGGCGAGGGAGGAGGGGAGGGCAGGCCGCTCCGGCGAGGGAGGAGGGGAGGGCAGGCCACGTCGACGCCGGAGAGGGAGGAGGGGAGGGCGGGGCCGTGCCGGCGCCGAGAGGGAGGAGGGGCGGCGCGTCTTGGCGTCTGGTGGGAGGGGCGGCGTGTCGCGGCGTCTTGCGAGAAGGGAGGGCGTCGGGACGCCAGCAGTCGAGGAGAAGGTGAGGGGGCCATGCCAGGAGAAGGGTAGGGCGCTGGGCGCGTCCGCTAGGGGCCTGTGCAGGGCCGTTGGTGCTATTCAATTGAGAGATTTCAAAATGTTCTTCGAACTAAATGTACAAATAAATGCAAAATTGAAGCATCCATGGCAGAGGCATATATTCTGAAGGAGGTGTCAAACTTCACAACAAAATACTATGCTGACAACCTTCCTAGCGTGCATAATCCACTTCCTCGTTACAATGCTGGCGAAGATGAATCGAACCTTAGCATTTTCCGAGGGCAACTAGGAAAAGCAAGTGGTGCGACTAACAAGACCTTTAAACATGAAGAGTGGCGCACTATTATGCTATATGTGGTGACCAACCTATCCGAAGTGGAGCCGTACATGCTGTAAGTTCTCAATAAACTTTTTCTCAAGTAGTCACAATTATGTGTCCAACTCCCTTGTTTCTCGTTGGTACAGGAAGGGGAAGAAGGCGCGCGTCTTGAGAGAGGGAGGGGTCGTCGTGGGGGAGAAGGGTAGGGCGTATTTGGTAGCGTCCATTGGGGTTAAAAAGATTTTTTCGTTTGCCGAGTGTCCCAGATCTGGACACTCGCAAAAAAAAAATTCATTTTTTTTCTTCTCCTTGTTTTCCAGAAAAAAAAATTTATTTCTTTGCCGAGTGTCCTGGATCTGGGCACTTGGCAAAGTTTTTTTTCATTTTTTTTCTTCTCCTTCTTTCCTAGAAAAGTTTTTTTTTGACACTCGGCAAACCTCCTCTTTACCGAGTGTTTTTTTTTTGCCGAGTGTTTTTAGCGCAGCACTCGGCAAAAAGAACTTGTTTGCTTGAAAGTGCCGAGAGAATACACTCGGCAAACATAAAAACACTCGGCAAACACTAACATGGTTCCTCAGCTAAGGTACATTTACTCGGCAACAACAAATCATGGGTAGACACCAAAATTTACATGGATCGGAGAGCCCTTATGAGAAAAAACTATAGGCGATGATGATCCGTAAGCAATCTACTATGAAGATGAAAGATACATGAGGTGAGAGCCAATAAAGTTAGGGAGGCTCCAAATTCCCTCAACTTACTCTCTTCAATCAGTAGCTTTGTCCCCCTAAAAAACAAGACAAGCAATGACATTGAAGAGGAGTTCAGGCTCCTTTAGGGCTTGGTTTTTTCACTTTTGAGATCCCCCTTCAAGTTATAGAGCATTGCAAAAAAAAAATAGCACTAGTACCGAAAACTTAATGGAGGCGGGCTTAGTAGTACAAAAATAGCACTAGTAAAAAAAAATGCTTACTATATGCTGAGAACCCTTTTGTACCATATATTAGCCAAAATAATGCATTAATGTTGAAATAAGGACCTGCAATCACACTTCATACTCCATATTCCAAATATGATACATCCAAATTGCTTGCAATGCTAACTTATAGTACCCCACTTCTGAATTCCTTTGAAGAGCACGCATTTAATTTATTGTGCGCGTTTACGCTATGGAAGAAAGAAAAAGTGCAGGATTGTAACATTCTCAAAACAAAATATTTAAAGTAGTTTATTGGAACTGAATATATTAAGAGAATAATGTGCGTAGTCTGTCATCCTCCAATGCAGTTATACTCTCTTAATAGGCACAAGACAAAGAGGCACCATCTTCCTAAAAGCAAGCTGCCCAGTTTCTTCCATATCGATGTCCTCCTCCTTCATCCCTTCAGGTAGTTGCCAATCAAAGCAATGTAACAGGTTGGCCAGGGCAAGCTCCACATTAGCGACGCCCATGGCGATGGCAGGGCATGACCTTCGTCCTGAACCGAACGGGAGAAGCTCAAAGTTGGAGCCTCTAAAGTCAACCTGGCTTCCTCGAACCTCTCGGGATTGAACTCCTCCGGGCGATCCCAGATGCTAGGATCTCTTCCCATTGCCCAAACATTCACGAAAATCCTTGTGCCCGGCAGCACGTCGTAGCCGCCGATGACGCAGCTCGTCATGGTCTCCCTTGAATCAACAACGTCCCCGGTGGGTGTATCCTGAAGTTCTCTTTCACCACCATCTTGAGGTAGCTGAGGTTCTTGACATCTTCTTCGTCCACTCTTGGTTTGTTCCCCACCAAACCGCGCACCTCGGCTTGCGCTTTCCGCATGACCCTAGGGTTCCTCATCAGCTCGGCCATGATCCAGATCATCGTGACAGCACTGGTGTCGATGCCACCTGAAAATGTGTCCTGAGGTTTACACGAAACTATGTGTAGTCAATGTTTCTGTAATAGTACTATATATACTACTGCATAACATGCATAATGATCATTAAATGATAATGATAGTATAATGAAAGTACCATGAGGATTCCCTTGATATGATCACGCGTTAATCCATTTTTGCCTCACAATCTGCCTGCTCCTCCTCCACATCTTGACGAGCGCGTCGACCATGTCCTCCTGCACGCCGGCCTGCAGCCTCTCGGGCTCGAGGTGCTTATCGATGACGGAGTCGAAGAAACGATCGATCTGGAGGTAGATGCGCCGCCTCCGGGGGGCGGCTCCGGTGAGGACGTCGGCGAGCCGGGCGAGCCTGGACGCCGGGAAGAAGTCCTCGAACGTGAAGCTCCCCAGCACCCGCAGCGTCTCGTCCATCACGCGCTGGAAGCTGCTCCTCTCGAACTGCGCCGACCCGTACATCTTGCCGAACGCCACCGTGCCGACGACGCCGTCGGAGAGCGCGTACAGCTTCTCGCTGAGGTCGACGGCGGCGCCCGGAGGGGAGGAGCTGGCGAGGGAGGCGACGAGGCGGTCCACCTCGGCGGCCCGGGCGTAGGCGAAGGACTGGACGCGCCGCATGCTGAGGAGCTCCAGGATGAAGAGCTTCCGCATCTCGCGCCAGTAGTCGCTGTAGGGGCTGAAGGCCACGTCCAGGAAGTCGTAGCTCAGCATCCTGGGACCTGATGAACATCGGACAATATGCAGCCAGTGATGATGATTTGGATTATACGTTACTCGTAATGGAGTTAGTACATATATAGTCTAAATTAGAGCATGCTTGATCCACTAGCACTAAAAATTAGTTAACTAATAGCTAATAGCTGTTAATTTTTATCTATCTCACCTTTAGCCGGAGACTATTTGGATCCACTGCTAATAGATGGTTGGAGTGTGAGTTGAAGGTGTATATAAACTATTAGCATCTATTAACGACTCCAAACTTGCTAATGAAATAATAGTTAGCAACGACTAATAATTAGCATGTTTATTAATAGATCCGTTTGGATCCACTAGTACTAATTTTAGCTGCTAATTTTTAGTGCTAATTCTAATAGGCCCTTACTCTGTCCATGTCAGAACGAATGCAATCATAATACAATGTCATATTTTAGTATCTTATAAGTTTGATCAACTATAGATAAAAAAATATTGTATCAATATTTATGATTGCAAATAATAACATTAGATTAATTACGAAATGTATTTTTATAATAAATTAATTTGAAGCCACAAACATATACTATTTCATTACAAACTTGATCAAATATGAACTAGTTAGCTCCGATGGCTCTCCTACCGCCTTCACGTCCCCAGCGGGCTCTAGTGGCTCCCCGCTGCTGGATCTATCGCTGTCCACCATGGCTTAGGTTTAAAAATGAATCAGATGTTACTCGTCCCCGATGTCTTTTTCATCTTCTGTTAAGCTCCCCACACTTGGCTCATCCAACTGCCGTTTCCCCACTCACCACCGGTTATTAAAAATACGAGATGGGTAATCCGATTATTAAAAATTATAATATGATTATCCCATTATATCTAAATCTCGAATGGGTCTGTTTGATACACGTGGCTAGTTATTAGCTAGAGCTAAAATTTAGCTCAAATTAGTTATGGTTGGTAAGCTAGTGATGTAACAAATAGTTAAAGACTTGACACACCTATATATTAGCTCTAATATTTGGATGCATTAGAGCTAAGTTTAGCTAATTTTTAGCTAGCAAGATTTTATGGCTTCGTTAAACATTTGAAAAAAAAATGTCAAACACTATTCCGACATATTTGTTGTGAGAGAAAAATATTGTTACGACTAAAAAATAAAATTGAAAAATATGGATTATAAGACAAGCACCTATATCAAATAGGTACACTAGTTTCTCTATCGAGTACACTCCAAACATGTACAATAGTTTCTCTATTGAGTATACTCTTTTTTTTTCCATTGCGTGGTCCCACGATCTCCCACACATGTATTTTGCTTTGCCAAAAACAGCGTGGCCGCAGACATGTGCATGTGCCCTTTTGATCCCACCAGGAACCAATATTGGACTCTTCCCATGCATGCATGTCTACGTGCATAATGGCCCCCTGGTGGTGGCCAATTTTGCTAAAAAAAATTGAATGAGGGGCGGTCCTCTTGGTGTACACCCTGTTTATTTGGGCTTGTTTGACTGATAAATTATGACTGAAAGTACTGTTGGCTGATTTAGGGTAAGAGAAAAATACTATTTATTGACTGAAAAAGTACGGATTATAAGCCAAACAAGCCCAAGCGAACAGGACGTAATCATGACCATCTAGTGTGAATCTATGACACATGTCCATTCAACTTATGAAACTGTTGCTTAAATTTAGGAGTAATTAATTAGAAAAAAACCTATATTTCTCTCATGTGTTGATACATGCAAATGGACATGTGTCGCAAATCTACTGTGGGTGTTCATTGTTGCCCCTCACCTAATTTACTTTTTCAATTTTCGTGCGGAACAAAATCATAACCGTTTTTTTTTTTAGAGAACACGACTTCATGCGTATTTCATTAAGAAAAAAAGGCCCAAAAGAACGGCTTATACAGTGAAGCTATGGGTGAGCCTACAGTGCATAGGAAGTGAAATCCTAACCTATTCCACCTAGGCTAGTGATAAGTGGTTCTGAGCTCGTACTTGCCTGGTGAGTTGGGGCGACTGCAGCAGTGCAGGTCGTTGGTCCGGAGGACCTCCTTGGCGGCGTCCGGCGACGAGACGACGACTGTGCGCACGCGGCCGAGCTGCACCTCCGCGACGGGGCCATACCTCCGCGCCACCGCCTCGAAGTAGCGGTGCGGCCGGCTGCCGATCTGGAGCAGGTTGCCCAGCACCGGCAGCTGCTTCGGCGGACCCGGGGGAGCACGCCGTCGTTCTGCTGCTGCTGCTGGCTCTCTGCTCCTCCTCCGCCGCCGGGACGACAGCAGGTAGAGGAGAGGGAGAAAGAGGAGTGGGACTACCAGCAGCAGCTCATGGGAGCGAGACTGCGAGTCCATGGCGCTCTTAGTTTCCTTGCTGGACTCGACTGGTGTGCGCCTGCGACTGCGAGGCCTCGCCGTGCCGGCTATGGCTTATATACAGCGGTAGGTATATCACTGAATGGCGGCTGCTACCTGAAACCGTACCTGAGCCAATTGCTCCGTTTGTAATTGTACGCAAACCCACAGAGCACAGTGCACAGACGTACACCGTGACGCACCTGGCATGGACAGAAGATGGGGATGACGATCGTCTGAACTTCTCAAGAACCGGAGAATAGCCAGTCTGAAGAAAACTGGATCCTTCCTGCTGGATTTCAGTAAAAAAAAAGATGGGCAGGAAAATGATGCACGGAAACGCCAATGGTGCTCGAGTCTATCGATCGACACAGGGAAAATTCATACCCTAATATTAAGCCCGGGCGTTTCCTGGTGCAGCAAACGAAGAAAAAGATAGATGCAGTGTAACCATGTGGTTCCTCCGGTCTTCCGCTCTCCCGTAGAGCACCTGATAAGATTTTGTTTTTCCTTTACTTTACTCACTAGTCACTACGTACTAGGACCTGCTGGAGTGCTTTCCTTGCATGGGCACAGATTGGCCAAATCAATCAATGGATAAACAAACAAACAGGGTCCCATGAGAGTGAGACCTAAGGACTTCATGTAAAAATAACAATATATTACTCTCTCCGCTTCAATTATAAAATCGTTTCATCTTTTCTTGATATATATTCTTTTCATTCCCAATTAACTGTCATCGGAGAACTAGACTTTAGGAATCATTATAAATGACAAAAGACCTGAACACCCCTACATATAGCAATGATTTACCTTTTGGACTTTTGGATGGATATGTCATTAATGTTGCCTTTTGCTGTGAAAACGCGCGCGTGCCACACACAACACAGATTTTCTACATTAAACAAATCATTACTCACATCCACTTTGTCACAGTTGCCCATGCAGTATAGTGTTTTTGCCTTAAACAAATCAAAGAGGTCACTAATACATGCATTTTACTCAGTGGCAAACACTACTTAGCGCCAAAACAAAGCCTGGCGCCATTTTTACACAGACTAAGCAAACTATAATTTGAAACTAGCGCCATTTCTCTAGCACCACTGGCAATAAAGCTCGGTAACCCTTTCTTTGCATTCATTTGAACCATTCACTTCTCATCCAACTCCCATGGCAATAGACTTAAACACACTACCAGAGGAGAGAGGAGAGGAGGTGCCAGATCTCAACAAGAATCCTGCTGAACATGAACACGAAGAGGATCGTGATCCCTTGGAAGATGTAGTGGCTGCAGTTCAAGTTGGGGAAGCTGACCACTTTGGTGTCTATCCTGCTAAGAATGATGAACAAGTCGACGGAGGGTGGCACAAGAGGATCTCATGGAGAGGGAGTCGACGGAGGGTGGGCGCGACGCGAGGTTGCGGATGGGGCCAAAGGAACAGCCAAGCGAGGTTGGGGATGAGGCTGGGATTTTTATTTTTTAGAAAAAGTTGGGTGCGTGTGTGGTGGTGTGAGGCCGTGAGGGGAGAGGAAGGGATAAGGCAGGCGCATGGTGCAGTAGCGGTATAGCTACGGGCTGATAGCTTAACGATAGTTATTACGGGACATGTACTGTAGCCCGACGATTTACGATATTTAGGGATGATAGTTATCACTATCTGGTATGTATTAGAAAAGATAAAACAAGTTATAATTTAGAAATAATAGACAGGGTACTAGGCTTATAATTTGGAACACAGAGAGTACTACGTAGTAGCTGATTACTTACCATCACCTTTTTCAAAGTAAAAAGATTAGCATATGTCTTTCAAAAGTATTTCCAAATTTTAGTACTAGTACGAAAGTTAGGATGTACAATTATTTGGAGCTATAACTTGAAAGGATTTTAATCAGGGTTCACAAATGATTATGGACATTATTGGAGCTATAATTTGAATGTTAGGATATTGGATTTTTGTTGGATCAAATGATTATGGACATCCAAAATCAAAATACTCTCATCTAAGTGCATCCAACACAACCAGAGTCCAATTGGATTTTGGATTACCCAAATTCATTGCCACCTCTTAACTATAGATAGATTAAGTTGTTTGGTTGGTTTATGCTATAGCGCTATGTACATGCATGTGTCATGTGCGGGCGCAAGTATCGTAGGTGCGGCTACAAAGACCACGGGGCAACCGTCGCGGCACATCGTGGCTAGAAGCCGCGCCCACAATGCATAAAATAGTTGATGGCTATAAATCTAAACAAATATATGTCTAGATTCATAGCTAAAGTGTCTGAAACATCGACAAGAAAAAGAATAAAAGAACATGTGTGCGACTCGAGTTGAGGTTGGGAACTGCAAATTACCCGGTAATCTGTGTGAACAAACACTACCGAAATAATAAATATGCCGAGTGTTTATTGATTTGCCGAGTGCAATTCATTGGGCACTCGGCAAAGACCTAATTTGCCGAGTGTAGAATATAAGACACTCGGCAAACTACAATACGACACTCGGCAATAAATTAACACTCGGCAAAATCCTATCACGTGACTGGAAGGTGCGACGGCCGTCTGACGGCGTGACGGTCGTTAGCAAAAGTGCAACTTTGCCGAGTGTTTTTCCGCAGCACTCGGCAAAATGATAAGTTTGCCGAGTGTTTTTGAA